ACCCCATCAACCAGGTATCAATCAGTTTAGGCTTATCTTAGAACTATATAAAAACCACCTTAACACACTTGCGGCAATAGTGCTCCACACATTGTAACAAACCTGACACATCACTTAACTAAGATATTGTGAAATATATTTTTCCCTGCTAGCATAAAAGTTAAATTTATACCATGCTGGAGTAAACTGTTTGTGTTCACTCTTGTAACTAGCAGTTCTGATGCCTCTTTTGAATGAATTGAATGTCTTGGCAAGTGATTCATTTGGTGGTGATTGAAGGAGCGGGACGTGGTGGTTGAGGAGGGTGGTCCACACTGCCCCAGACACGTCCCCAGACACGTCCCCAGACACGTCCCCAGACACGTCCCCGGGCCACCGGGGCTACTGCTGGGTCAGGCTCTGGCACCTTACTCTCGTTATTGTCCAAATGCCAAACGTCGTACAACAACAATTTTATAAGACTAAAAATAAAAGAAAACTTATACTCAGCGACTCAAAATGAGTTAAAACCAAGTATAAGGGCTGAAGTCAGGTGGGAGGGAATTATCAGGGGAAAGCAGCAAGCCATAAAATAGCCACCATTGTTGCCCCCCCCCCCCGTGTATAATATTTGTACTGGGTGATGTGTGGCACCACCGTGGCCTTGACGGTGGCCCCCCCCCTCCGTGTATAATATTTGTACTGGGTGATGTTGTGTGGCACCACCGTGGCCTTGACGGTGCCCCCCCCTCCTACCTTACAGTATCCACCATGTTTCCTCTGGTGTAAACACACCACTATACCCAGGTAACTGCTGGGCGTGTTACACTGAAGCAATATGAGCATACTTAATGTCTACCTTGGTTGACACTTGACTGGGCAAGAAGTGTGAAAGGTAGGCCCAGGCTAAACGTTGTCTCCTGCCCTGGTGCAGGCGATGAGTCACAATAACGTGGCTGAAGTATGTTGACCAGACCACACACTAGAAGGTGAAGGGACGACGACGTTTCGGTCCGTCCTGGACCATTCTCAAGTCGATCACAATCGACTTCAAAATGGTCCAGGACGGACCGAAACGTCGTCGTCCCTTCACCTTCTAGTGTGTGGTCTGGTCAACTCCTGCCCTGGAATATTATCCCAAACCATTGAGGATGCAAGATGGAGGAGTCATACTTGTAAGTTGTAATATGACTTAACCCAGAAGCCATTAACTAGTATGATCTCTTTAATGCCATATTAAAGTCCAGAAGTCCTTTACTTCCATCCCAGGCAACCTCCAAGTTGCAGGAACAGTGTGGGAGGGACGGAATTATCACGGGAAAGCGCCAAGCCATTACGACTATATAGCCCTTGGAAGGGGTCAGGATTTGGGATGAGACGGAGGGAAGGAATGGTGGACAACCACTTGGACGGTCGGGGATTGCACGCCCACCTGCATGAAGCGAGACCGTCGCTCTACCGTCCAGCCCAAGTGGTTGTGTGGGAATGTGAGGTTTGATTTCAATTTCGGGCGATGCTTAGAATTTTCACTCCCGTATTGAGGAAGAGAGTACACAAGGCTGGCGAGAGACTTTACACTGCCAGATAATCTAACGTCAGGAAAACTAAAGAGTTGGCTAACAGCTTGCCCAGCTTATCATACTTCCTGTTATCTTTGCATGTTTTTCAACGGGTTGTGCATGAATTCCGTGATGAATGGTGTAGAGAGGTATATGGGAGCACGCGCCACCCTACGACCGGGTAAAGTGACGCGTGATTGACTAAACTTTGCCAGGAATGAATCTTGTATTGATCGCCAGCGAGTTTGTGTATGGGGGGGGGGGAGAGCCGGGTGTGTCTGTCCGGTCTCTATACTGCAGCTGATGTCCCACAACCTCTCCTTTTACTTAACACTTAACTACTCCAGTTTAGTAAATAAGTATAAATACCATGTATAATAATAATTTATATACGACGGTAAGATGGTTACCACTGGAGACTAACATTAAAATTCACTCTACTATAAACCTATTATCTTTACTATTATCATAAGTAGGGGCAATTGTATGTCGAGGTGCCACTGTGTATATATATATATATATAATGTTTTATTCAATATGACTGCATATTCTAGATACATGTATTGATTATTTACTGTATTGATTATTTACTTGGTTTAATTGGAAGAGGATTTCTCCAAAAGTCATCTTCGTTCGAGGTGAAAAAATAAGTTACTGTACAATGTATTACACTTTATTAAAATTACACAAGGTTTCGAACCTACATGGTTCACTCTCAAGTGGTGGGACAGTACAGGGCATATTGGATTTATACCATTATGGGGTCAGGTGTAGACAAATAGATTCTCATGGAGAACGCAGTGATGTGGTGGAGGCAGACTCCATACACATTTTCAAAGGTAGATATGATAGAGCCCAGTAGGCTCGGGATTCTGTACACCAGTTGATTGACAGTTGAGAGACGGGACCAAAGAGCGGAAGCACAACTCTGGCAAGCACGACTAGGTGAGTACTAGGAGCTCCGCTCTTCTATCCATTCAGGAGAGGTACCAAGGCTGGAGACCAGCCCTGGTACTCCAACTAGGAACACACACCTCTTATAGTATTGATATATCTATACTGAGAATGTTTGTCTGTCTTCACAAAGCTGGAAGCCAGACGTGTGGGGTTACTGGGGAGAGTGAGGGAGGGAGAATATGCTGGTCACAGGACTGGCGGTAGAGAGAGGAGGTGCAGGAAATGAGCAAGATTGTGCTGCACCAGACCCACACACACACACACAACTGTAACTTAACTCTGATAACCTCCTACGTACCTACGTGTGTGTGTCTGTGTGTATTTATGTATGTATGTATACATTTTTTTATATATATATATATATATATATATATATATATATATATATATATATATATATATATATATATATATATATATATATATATATATATATATATATATATATATATATATATGTCGTACCTAGTAGCCAGAACGCACTTCTCAGCCTACTATGCAAAGCCCGATTTGCCTAATAAGCCAAGTTTTCATGAATTAATTGTTTTTCGACTACCTAACCTACCTAACCTAACCTAACTTTTTCGGCTACCTAACCAAACCTAACCTATAAAGATAGGTTAGGTTAGGTAGGGTTGGTTAGGTTCGGTCATATATCTACGTTAATTTTAACTCCAATAAAAAAAAATTGACCTCATACATAATGAAATGGGTAGCTTTATCATTTCATAAGAAAAAAATTAGAAAAAATATATTAATTCAGGAAAACTTGGCTTATTAGGCAAATCGGGCCTTGAATAGTAGGCCAAAAAGTGAGTTCTGGCTACTAGGTACGACATATATATATATATATATATATTTATATTTATATTTATATTTATTTATATTTTGCCTGACTACCACCAAACAATTTCAGGCACCAGGCAAATTCAGCAGCGAACTAGAGTTGTATACACAACTACTATTGTATACAAGTTATAGCTCCAACAAGAAGTCTTATTTTATCAGCATAAAAGAAGGTTTTAATACAAGTTTGGCGGGAGTAAGGCTACATGGGGAGGCCACCGTGACCTAGTAACCTTGGTGACCTTGGCTGTACTCTGACCTTGTCACACAACCAACCCTCAGTAATTTTATTGCCATATATTAAGTGATGACTTTAATTCAAATGTAGCACACTGTCAAGTTAAATACAGTAAGTGATTTACGTGTGTTTTCGATCTTGGTGGATACTGCACACAGCCGCTAGTGTGGGTGGTAATGGACGTAATCTCACTACCAAACAACTGTATAGTCAGCACTACAATGGTGGTGTGTCAGCAGCCAGCGGGAGTGCTCAACAAGGCCCAACTTGCTACCTGCATGCATATTAAATTAGAAGCCAATATGGGGTTAAGAGCGCAATTATGACGTTGTCTGTTGGTGCGTTGTGTGTGGGTGACGGCACGTGCTCTCCCGGGAGGAAGTGGCTGATGTAAACAATACTAAGGGAGAGTGAGTGGCCTCGTGCCTATGGGGCCACTCTCCATGGACAGGTTATCTTCCAACACTCCTCCTCCCGCCACTGATGTCAGCCACGGCCTACCACCGCTCCCCACCCGCACCCCCCCACCTTTCATGCCCCCTTTCTTTCCCACATCCTCGTATTCCTCTTCCCCCTTTCCTTTATCCACTCCTCTTTCTCCCTCCTGAGATCTTCTCTCAACCCGCTTGCATTACCTTCTCACTTCCTGACTTCCATCTGCTCCCTCTTTAATCTTTTTGCTTCCCGATCTACATTCTCTCCTCTTGCTATCCACCTTAACCGTTCTTTTCCAGCACCTTGCATGCTTCCCATGGTTTGTTAACTAGCGTCATCTCCGTGGGTGTGAAGGACTAAGGACTTATTGTAGTACTTCATACGGGTAAGAATGTTTGAGGTGCGGCGAACAAAGGCCGTGTTGTATGTGTTGTCCCGTGTGTACGGCACCAAGGTGCTCTTAAGTAAGATTATTCCGGGGCTCTGGGACGCTCACGGCCGCAGCCACTCTTCTTCCTCTGCTGTTTACTGATTTATCGCTGGCTTGTGTGTTGCGCCTGCATCATGATTGACGCCTCCTTTATTGTGCACCCCATACCCATCCCGTGGACGCTGCTTTAAAGGGTTACAGAGGCACATAATGGGTTCACGAACTGAACCCCATAGTTCGTTTACCCTAAGCAAGTGACTTTATCCTCTTTATGACTTCCGGTATGTGGCTTTATCCTCTTTATGACTTCCGGTATGTGTCCTGTCAATACTTCTCCAACATTTCTCTGTATGGTCACCCCCTCCACGAGCCCTAACAGCCCCAGGTGCCCCTTCCCCTGTACGAGCCTTAACAGCCCCAGGTCCCCCTTCCCCTGTACGAGCCTTAACAGCCCCATCCCTCTCCTGCTAACAAGATTCGCGAGTGGTCTGCTTCTGTATTCATCTGTGTCAACAAAACAATTTGCTTTATTAATTTTGAATTATATATTTTTCAGATGGGTCGCCAGTGAAGGGCATTCAGAAGGATGGTATGAAGAAAGTTGAGAATGTGGTGTGCAAGGGTGGTGGTGGTATGGCTGGGTCGCTGACCAGCGGACAGCAGCAGCAGCAGCAGGAAGCAGTGACACAAGCAGCGGCACAACCACCCAAGTCCGACGAGCCTTCCGACTGCTACCTCAGAGATCTCTACGGCCAAGTCACTACAGTTGTGGCCTCCAAGCCTGACGAACGAGACAATATCAATGAAGGTAAAAATTTCGCTTTTTTTCCTTCTTCAAGAGTTTAGCATTTAGCGTATGTTAGTGTTATGTATAATGTGTCATTCTTGCTTGTAATATTATGTTATACTACAGCTTTTACACGAACCATAACTTGCTGCCAAGATAATTGTCAAGATAATTGTGTTAACTTGCTGTCAAGATAATTGTGTTAACTTTTGCCCCCGTCAGAGGAATGCGAGGATCCTGCGGCTGTACCTATGATCTGGGTCAGCAAGTGGGTTGACTACAGTGACAAATACGGCCTTGGTTACCAGTTATGTGACGACTCAATTGGTGTACTCTTCAATGATTTTACCAAGCTGCTCCTACTTGCTGACGGAGAGTAAGTATGGTATCAGTTTGCCTTTATAATGTGGTGACAACTGCTGTAATTAGTATTCTCAGTTCAGTAGTGAGCAGAATGTTGACAGGATTATATACATACCAAGGTGTGTGTGAGGGAACATTGCCAGGCCAAACAGTCTGGAGGTTGCCGAGGTGGTGGAGTCCCTCTGAGACCATCGACAACCCCACACTGCGAATTCTGTTGTCTTGAAGAGACTGGTGCATGTATATTGCTGATAAATTATATGTAATGAAAACTAATTATAATATTATTAGGAGCTAGGTTTAAACAACTAGAGCTAAATATACAAACTAATTAAATTAATTTTTGCTCAAAAGATGTAAATAGACAACCCTAGTGACAAGTGCTGTACACACTGTGTGACAAGTCCGAACTTATCTGAGGCATGTTTGGTGTCAAGGTTTAACTATACACACATCTTTACATTTTTTTTTTTGTTATTCCTGTTCCCGAAGGTATCCCAAAATGAAACTTATAACATAGCAACACTGCATAATATATTTTTCCCTGCAAAATATAGATACACTTTTTTTTTTATATATATTCAAGGTCAAAGGTCACATCATAGGATCTTGAAATGAGAAATTAAATATTTAACGTCAAACTATATTTAACCTTTCTGCTTCTCAAGTGCACTCGGATGGATAAAAAATAAATTGCTCTCGATTGTTTGCTCTGTTGACATTATTAATTAGCATCCAGGAAAGAAAAAAAGTCCAAATGAAAAAGTATCTCCATCTCTTATGGTTTACGTTCAGTGGGCTGAGAAATTTAGTTTTTTTTTTTTAGTAGAAATGAGGTCAGGTGCCACACGGAAATAACTTTGTATATATATTTTCATTGTTTCTCACTATATAGTTTTTTTTTAGTTTTTACAAGTTGTTCTGATGTACTCACCTAATTGTGCTTCTGGGGGTTGAGCTCTGGCTCTTTGTGTCAAAGATGGGGTTCATTAGGTATGTATTACACTTAAAATATAGCACACATTTAGACTGAAATATATAATGGTAATGACTCATTTGCTATTGATAAAAGTTGAGTTGCTCCTAGTGTGGCCGCCCTGCACGTTCTCACACACTGGCTGGGGATGTTGCCAGTTTTTTTTTTATATAACTAAGGCCCCCTAGAAGGAAAGTGAGGGACTCAGGATTTTTTTTAAATGGGTGTGTGTTACTGGAGGCCTGAGGGAGCAACTGTGAGCCCCATGTATGTGTAAGATTTTTACATTTTATGTAGTTCCCTACTACTTCATGTGATGTGATGCACAGTCTGAGCATATTTAGGTACCCCATCATATGATGTGATGCAAGGTCGAAGGGTTAATAAAACAACGTTTCCTTAACTTCAAAACAAGCCTTATGTTAGTATGTACATGCTGAACGTTCAACAAATGGATCTTACTACAATAATGGTGGTACATGTACACAGGTCATTGATTATTGATTGTAAGGAACACTCGGTTTATGGTTAATTGTAAGGAACACTGTTTATGGTTAATTGTAAGGAACACTTGGTTTATGGTTAATTGTAAGGAACACTCAATTTATGGTTAATTGTAAGGAACACTCAGTTTATGGTTAATTGTAAGGAACACTTGGTTTATGGTTAATTGTAAGGAACACTCGGTTTATGGTTAATTGTAAGGAACACTCGGTTTATGGTTAATTGTAAGGAACACTCAATTTATGGTTAATTGTAAGGAACACTCAATTTATGGTTAATTGTAAGGAACACTCAGTTTATGGTTAATTGTAAGGAACACTCAGTTTATGGTAGGAAACGTGATAGAATAGTAAGAGAAATAAGCCTTACACAGGTTTTATATATGAAGGAGAATGGACGAGACAAATAATGGATGTGGCCGTTGTATTCCCAAGAGCTGTGCTTGTATGAGAACAATTATCCGTGTAATAATGTCATGTTTAACAATACTCTATAATAAATAATAGGAGAATGATGTAACTTGATGAAATATTTATTACATTTTGGCCTTGGCAATATTTTATCATTTTATAATTATAATATGACATCATAAGCATGAGAAATGTCATGTATTACTAGGAAGTTCATAGATTATAGGAATTGTTGAGTTGAGGCTCAAATCATTAAATTTTTAGGTGAATAATTGAAAGCATCTTGGTGGAGCCTTGAATGAGTAATTTTAAATTAAATGCTTTAACAACCAAACTGTCTAAAATGCGCACATCCACTGTGTCGTGTATTATTCTTGATATACAAAACCAGTGAAATAATTGATGTGGGATTGTTTGAGCTTTTCAAGCATGGATGAAACATTTATGGATAGTTTGGTAGATAAAAATAGCAGCTGCCCTGTAATGGCCAATAGGCATTTGTACTATTTTTGTTATTTGCATGCATGATGTTTTCATGTGTGTGCAGTATTTTCACTACACAATTCTTACACTTAACAGCTATTCTCAAACACTGTACCATGATGTATAGCTATAGTACATAATGTTGTATTAGATTGTTATGACTGAATATGATTATTTCTATGTATCATGATTTGACTCTTATTAGTTTCTTGATAAGTTACCTGGCTAGATATATATGATACCTAACTAACTTTAGAACATTTATGAATATTCAGTATCTGGCAAATTTTTAACTGGTATATAAATAAATTATATCTTACTGTATTTTGTTTAAGGATATGAAATTTTTTTGCTATGGCAATAAGATAGTAAGATAATCATTTAGCCATTTTTTATTTTTTAATATGTAAATTTTAGTTTTTTTTCTTTTGTGTAACAAGGTCCCAGGTATTTTGTTTTATATATTATTAGTAGCACTTTATATTTATTTGTACATGACTTAATAAATGTACTATTTCTAATAGAAATATTCACTACATCGAGCGGTCGAGTGCTGAACACTATCATCAACTGAAAAGTTACCCAGCAACACTTAACAAGAAGGTAACGCTGCTCCGTTACTTCCGAAACTATATGAACGAACATCTACTGAAAGCAGCAGCATCTATGTGCCCTCGAGAGGGTGACGAGTTGGCCCGCATACCATCTCTGAGAACTTACTTTAGGACACGCTCAGCAATTATCCTTCATCTGACAAATGGAACGCTACAGGTTGGTATACATGTTTTATTCTAACATAATTTAGTTGCTCCAATTTATATTTATTTTCTAACTTATAATACTAATTTACTCTAATTGGGGGTATAAAATGCATTAACTGTGATGCAATTTGATTACTTGGTGCAGCATCATTGTTCAGCATCAGTAATTTACTCTAGTTTTGTCATGCTTGTTTTCTTTTGTGTATGATTTTAAAATTGAGTTTTCTTTTTTTATTGACCAGTGTTGCCTGAAGCCAAATATTCTCTGGTTTGGGCATGGAGTTAAGCGTATTTTTTTCTATTAGGGCCCAATGTGCTTAATGACTAGTGGTGGTCACCACCCACTACTGCCCACCAACACCCCCATTAACCCTCCGGTTATCATAGCCCTTCTTTCCTTTGTCTTTCCAATATTTCCATCCACCTGTACCCACCATATGCCCAGTTAATTGCTGGATAGTGTACTGGAGTTAGTCAAATTATTGTAATAATCTTCGACAAAGTTGATGGGTGTCATAGGATATGTAATCTTTCCAAGAGGCATCCAAATAATTATGAAAAATAAAGGAGCAGGTTTGAAAATGAGTGGCTGCTGCTACTGGTACAATTAAAATGGGGTTCTTTGGAACTAACATTGACGTACAGTGTATCCTCCAGGACTTGATAATAGTTATGGCAACAGTGGAAAAATACCATGATGATAATGAGTCATATATAGCATCCAATAAATAGCAGAAGGTCCAGGGAAATCATGGGAAAATGTCTGATAGTCATGGAAAAGCAGTAATAGTGAAAAATGCAAAGAAATTAATTTTCAGTGACTTCATCTATAGAGAAATAGATTGGATAGTGAACCTCACAATGGGCATAAAACGTGAAGATCACGTTAGTGGAGTTTCTCGATAAATACTACTCGAGAGAACACATTATGCAGCGAACTTTAGGTAAAGATGATAAACCGGCAACACTACATCTATTATTCACCCAGAATGGAAAACTGACCAAGAGGGAAAGACATCAAATTACAATAAATGAAATACTGTATATAGCCTGAATATGTATTGAAGGTAGAGAAGTTGCTTCCACTAAGGAAGCAACTAGACATGGGAACCAGCATTATCCCATGGCTTAACAGTGCAAAGTATGCAAGTCAAGAGGGAATATTGAAAATTAGCATACAGAATCAGTGTCATGAAATACAAAAGTAGTTTGTGGTGTAAGTAAAGACGCCTGATGGAAATAGATGTAACAAAGGCAGTAGAGCCAGATTAGATATTGCCATAGCTTGTTAAGAAGTCTGACCTTCACCCAAATACCCAATTGACCTACACCCAAATACCCACTTGACCTACACCCAAATACCCACTTGACCTACCTCCAAATACCCACTTGACCTACCCCCAAATACCCACTTGACCTACCCCCAAATACCCACTTGACCTACCCCCAAATACCCACTTGACCTACCCCCAAATACCCACTTGACCTACCCCCAAATACCCACTTGACCTACCCCCAAATACCCACTTGACCTACCCCCAAATACCCACTTGACCTACCCCCAAATACCCACTTGACCTACACCCAAATACCCACTTGACCTACACCCAAATACCCACTTGCCCTACCCACTCTTACCTGCCCACCACACTCCACTACACCTACATACAAACCACCACACTCGCTCTGCATGTCCATATTTTAATATGTATGCAAATGGAAGGGAAGCCGTGTTAGTGTACACGTATTGTATCATGAATGGTATAGTAAATGGACAAGAAGCATCTTTTATGTTTATTTTCTTTTGTTGAAAGTCAAAATCTGACCCTTTCTAACCTCTCTTTCAAACAAAAAATCAAATAAAAACTTCATATATACCAGTTCAGTATATTACTGAACTGGTTTACATAAAATTTAAGTATATTATTTACATAAATCATATTTATAGAAGAACATGTAATCATTATAATTATGTACATTATAGTCTACATTCAGAATAATAATTTTATTTGTCAGCCATTTATACCAATCATTAGTCACAAATGCTGGTACTGGAGTGAGCAGGTGTATAACCATGAAAAAAAAAATTATAGCGTCCAATTAGAGCAATGGAATTTGTATTGACAAAACACGTTGTATAAAATTAAAATGATCAAACATTTTGAAGGATAACTAATGTAAACTAATTATACCATGAAGTTGAATATATTTCCACACTCTCAGCATTTTACATCAAGAGTTTTAAGACTAGCCTGAATTAAGTCACTTGGAACACACAGCTTGTGTAACATAGACTCGTTTTGCCTCTTTATATGCACTAGTCCTGTGCTTGCCTGTCAGGGATTTCAGGTGAGTGAGATCTAGCACTCTGTGCCCCACTTCCTTGGCCTCAACACCACCCGAACAGGAAACGAGAACCCTCTTTCATCTCCAACTCGGTTGTGCAGCCAGAGCTTCCACTGATGTTCCCTTGTCCCCTCTCTCTAATTTAAATAGACTGCTTCTATTCAATTTATCTATTCCCATCAGGATCTTGTATGTAGTTGTTATATCCCCTCCTCAGTTTCTTCTCTCTAAGGTTCTGAAAGTGAGTTGTCTCAACCTGTCCTCATGGCTGAGAGACCAATTCTGATAAAATACTAATCGAATTGCAAGCCTCTGAACTTTAAGTTTATTTATGCTTCACAAAGTGAGGGTTTCAATCCATGTTGGTGCTGTATACTCAAGTAATGGTGTCACATAGGCAGTGTGTTTTTGGATTTGAATACTGTACCTGCTTTTAGATTCTCAAATAATATTCGTGTTTGCTAACTTCCAATATGGTACTGTTGTTGTTGCAAGCACTAACAGGCAAAATGTCATCTACTGTTTTTGGTGTTTTTCTACACCGTTTCAGCATTGTGTTCACAGCTGTCTATACCCATTCCCCCCCCCCCCTCTGTGGGTTGATGGCTCCATGCTCCATACAGTATAGAAGTGGGAAATGGGATAATGGTGTAGTTGTTACTTGTGTGTGTGTTTTATGATGATCTTACCACGTTTATATTTTACTTCAATATCATTCATTTCAGATAAACTTCTTTGAAGATCATACTAAGATCATCCTGTGCCCTTTGATGGGTGCTGTTACTTACATTGATGAAAAGAGGAACTTCCGCACCTACAGACTAGCAAGTCTTGAAAAGGTAATTTTTTAGGAATTTAAAAATTTAAATATTGTATAAATATTTGAATAATTTGTAATATTAATATGGTACAGTAGATGATGGACTGCAGTATTATACAGAATTAAATTAGTGGTGGACTTTAATTATTAAATGTCCTGTACTTCATCTTCATAATTATATGTATAAATGTCTGAACAGTTAAAAAAAAAAGTATTAGAGTACTGTACTTTAACAAATTTTTCTTTGCAGTATGGATGCCGACCAGATCTAGCCAACCGATTGCGATATGCTCGAAATATGATACAGAAGCTCATGGTGACTAAATCGTCAGTGACAAAGTCCTCCACAGTCTCCTCTTCTGTGACTCAAAATGCCCCACCAACAACTGCTTGAAAATAGTTTTTCAGTTTTTTTTTTTGTTTTTTTTTTTTACTAAAACACGTCCTTTGCTCTCTTTGATGAAAGCATATTTTTCTTGGAGGCATACAATGACAAACATATAATTGGCCCTATTTTTGGTTAGCTGGCAAAAGGATTGCCACATTATTGGATAATATTAATTATTGAAAATATCTGCTGAAACCAATTTGTATGTGTGTAACAAGATTGTACTTCATGAATCTTCATGGGTAAAATTATATTTGAGAGATTTTATTGAAGCTATGATCATGTAGGTTATTTCTTAATATTGTAACTTGTTCTGAAGTAGTTGTTGGCTGGGGCAATTCATTTTCATTTTTTTTTTTAACGTGGAAATTAAAAAATTTCACAAGTTTTGGGAATGCAGCCAGTAAATATTTGTGACAATTTTGAGTACATCTTGGAAGACTAGTTACTGTTAATATATTCCTAGTCTGCCAGTGCTTGATAACTTAGTATTGTTGATATGCCATAACTAGTGCTGAGGAGTCATTAATGCACACACACATCAGTGGTTGTATCAGTAGTTGTCATATATACAAACCAAATATGTGTGTGGTGATTTGCCAGGAATGGAAGGATATATATATATGATATTGATTACACATTTTAATTGATTTTATTCCATTTTTAAAGGGAAGGAAGGGTTATTGGCATTAATGAAACATTTCACAGGGTGGAACACTCGACTAATGTATAACCCAGTTGTTTACGTGGATGATTTGTGTTATGTACTCCGGGCCAGGTTACTCGTGCACTCCAAGTTGCCCTGTGCTTCATTACTTGAGGAAGTTGCCACCTTTAATTTATATTTTATTCTGATTTCTTCAGTATTGAAATCAACACAAAATGAATCACAGTCTTTTATACTACTAGTTTATAATTTCATGTAGTCATACCACGAAGCACGTTTTTTGTCTTAAGTTATTATGTCGTGTCAGTACGGACTCATTAACATTAATATTAATTTTTATTTATGGGAATATTCAAAATTGGATTTTAAAAAATCACTTCTAAAGCAAACTTTCAAACTACTGGATGACACTAAGCCATTTTATGAGGTGGTATTAGAGTTGTAAGTTGGTCATGTATGCTTTAGTGACAACAGGAACACATTTGTTGTTCAGAATATGTAAGGTCACACTAAGGCTAGTTAGTGGTCAACATAAAATATATCCTTTAATGGTGATTTCAAACTGGGATAAGAGTGTGTGTGCAGGTTTTGTTACGTGGCTGTCATTGACAAATGTTGGGCCTATAACCAAAATGATAGCATCTTCTCTACCCTGTAGTCTTTAAAACAATGAATGTAAATATTATTAATTAGTAGATTGTATTGTGTTTTGTACTCCCCGATCACAACATAAATACTGGCTGTACTGACGATGATAGTCTTTGCTGTTACTCATCATTTAGCTCTAGTATTCTGAAAGTATTACCATTACAATCCTGTTAGCATTTGTAGGTCATAATTTTAGTTCTTATTTTCATTCATCCCACTTGGTGTATGTAATGAAATTCTGTATACTTTTGTCCTAATTTTATTTTGCTTCACATTTCTATCTCGCCAATTTACAGCAGTGTGATACATAAGTGTAAATAGTCCGTGCGGTAATAAAGTATGTATAACTACCTTTGTATCCTTTCCTGTAAATTATGTGCAAGATTTTTCCAATATACTTGTTATACTGTGTTGGTTCAGTGCTGTGCATTTTTCACCGATTTGTAGTGCCACAAATACGTTTTAAGTATTTGGAGAGAGGAAGTACAGCAAGCTCTCCAGACATAACAGGAAATCCTTAAGTGAGACTAAACTGTATGGAAGTTGATGTGCTTAAAACCATAGGACCAGACACTTGCCATAAGTGTTGCATCTTTACCACTCTCCCTATTGAAAGTAATGTTTTTCCTCCTTAAAAGTATATTATTGCAGGGTTTGCCTGATTGCAGACCTCTCTGCATGTCCATGTTGTGCTTGTGGGGGTTGAACTCTTTGAAGAGGCTCTTTGGTCCCGCCTCTACTATCAATCAACAATGTGAACCCATTGACGAATCCCTCATCAATTTTTGCAAACTACTAACTAGTGTGGTGAAGGTATATTAAAACCCTGTCATGAACTGCATTTCTCTTGAACATTTTCTTGGCTTCTGAGTGGATCAAAGTGGCACGTGCTTTTCCATTATTTTTGTTATTATTAAATCTTTGTGCCACCTACTCAGAAGAATATTATTGTGGTGGAAATTTATGCATTTTTCTTGTAAAGCAGCTAATCCTCATGCCCCAACATTGTTTTGTTGATGCATGAGACTATTAGAGCTAGACTCAAATAATCCTAGTCATTTAACCTTTAACATACCATGATTCCAAATAAAACAGTGGCTGTTCCTCATTTTTAGTCGATATAAAAGTGGATTCTTTTCCGAGGTTTCTACCTGATCATTCATATTACAATCTGAAATCATGCGAGAAAGGAAGGGAACCATCAGGAGAAAGTGCCAATCAATTAAGACAACACACAGAAGGGATAAGGATTTAGGCTGGGACAGGGAAAATGAATGGTGCCCAACCACTTGTATGATTAGTTAATACTAATATCAAATGGCATATTATGTAATGTTACCCACTCCCAAGGGCCTTCCTGCCACAAACAGTAAGTGAAAACTTTTTTCAATTATATATTGACAACATGATTAACTCATGGATATTAAAAGGAACAGACCTGCATTATTCTGCTAACAGTTGTACACCTCTTGGAATATAATTTTTTAAATATCTTGAATTTTTGCAATACTGTATTGTACCAAAGTTCCTTTGTCACATGCTTCTTAATAAAATGTTCAATGAATCGGATGCCTTTGACATCGCTGGTCTTAAGTCCTTTAGCTTTTGTATTGCATTATTTTGTATTAAGTACTTTAGCTAATAACCAGAACCATATTACATCAAGCCTATCCCTGGGCTGGGCTTGGAACAACTCTCAGAACCCCATCCAGGTACTAGGCCTAGTAAGCAAGGACTATTTTACCAAAAAAATATTAATTTATTGTGCATTCCATACCCATCCTATGAACAGTAGTGGAGAAGCTTAAGAGGCACACAATGTTAAAAGTTGAAATTAATTAAGAACGAGTCAATTTTGTGTAAATATTTTAGGCATGTACACATTTGAGTGCAAGTAATGTGGAAAATAGTTCACCCTGAAGTGTGGCGATGTCAGATTGTTTATACAGACCTGACTCAAAAAATTTAGCCAACATTTCACAAGAACTGCACTACCAGTGTAAGTAACCATAAGTGTACATGGTTTGAGTGAGGAAGTGCTTGCAGTGGAATGACAGTCCAGGTTGATGCATTGTTCTTTGCCTCAAGATGAAGCTGAAGCTGATCTGTGATTTGCCTCTTCAGTAGAAAGGAGGTAGTCTACCATGGTGCAGGGAAATGCCATTATTTTCCTTTGGTACAGGTGATACATCTGATTCCTGTATGAGTTTATAGTGATGCATTTTGAAGAATGTTGACTTGCTAAGTAACGTCTGGAGAACTTTAGTTTTAAGTATTGTGATGAACCAGCAGAGGTGCAGCAAGGCCAACAAATGGTCTAATATGTTTGAGGTACATCATTTTAATTCTGACTTTTACATCATAGCTTGGATGATGCCCTGGCACCTTTATACCAATGATAGTGGGGTATGTGGCTCTTGCAACGAGACTAAGGTATGTTAATGTTTTGTATTTGTGGGTGTTGATTTAGTTTATTTTCTCAGCTGAAATGATTAAGCCTAGCTCCTGAGTGTGTAATACCAAGTTAAAAATATATATTTTGGGTGTTAATATTCTTGGTGGAATGTATCATAGCGTAGCTAATGCTTTCACTGGGGTTTACATAAACATCTACTAAGCACAGAGTTTAGAAGTGCATTTATTAAATTATTAAAGAAGGTTGGATAAGTAATCTCTGATCCAGAAAAGATGAGCATCAACACCCATTCTGATTAGGTCATTCTGGCTTGAATGTTAGCTGTGTTAAAGGCAGACTTAAGATCTAGCAAGGTTTAGTGTGACAAGTCATGTCACACTGACATGACTTGTCAGTGTGAGGAAGGAAGTAATACAGTGATGCGCGCACTCCATGCATAAAGCGATGGATCTGGGAAAAGAGCAGGTACGTCTTATGCAGTAGTTCGTTTAGGAGCATCCCCTCCAATGTTTGGCAAAGGCAATAAGTAATGGAAATTGGGCAGAAATCAACCTCTTGATTAGACTGGAAACTGAAAAGGTGATGCCGTTGGTTAACAAATATGGGGAATTTCCCAGTTACATGTGTCTTATACAGTTCAAGCAAAATTAATGTCATAATGTTATACCATCCTCACTGGTGATGTGGCTTTACCTTTCTCATTGTCAAAAGTAATTCAAACCTGGTGAATAGCACATTGTATTCAAATCATCTTTGTAGAGTATGAAGTCTACGAGCCTTTCTCTACCACTGCGTTTAACACTTAATTTTAATTGAGATTGAAAAATTTTGCTACACTTAGAGGTGGGTTTTCCCCAGCATCAGCTAACTTGTTTTTTCTTTGTAGAGGATGAGGCTGATAACTGGCCTATCTTTCTGCCCTTGATCCATTCGTGTTTGGCTGAAGAGGAACGTGGTAGTCGAGTTCATTAACAAAGGCTTCCCAGTGTGCCAGCATGGGCTCTTCCATGCCATGACTAGGACATGCTGAAAGAGCTTGAACATGTCTGGTGTATGGATTTGCCCATATGGTATGCAAGACCAAACCCTTTGGCAGTGTGCTTCAAACCTCAAGGTTTAGTCATTATAATAGTACAGACTATTATAATTCATTGACTATTATATTTCATTGGTAGCTTGATACCTTTGAATGCTATGCATTAACTCATATCTGAAGGTCTGTACTATGGTAGTAAGATCCAAAAACCTGTACCAGCATGAAAATTATGACATGGTAATCTCACACACCTTGTGTACATCATTTATAAAACCTATTTTACCTTATTTTCATTAGGTTGTGTGTGCTTAAACAGTAACAATGATGTAAGATGTACATACTTACTGGACTGCAGAAAGTTAATAAAAGTATTTGAGAGTTTTCATTGGAAGTCACGTGCATGTAAATATCCCAGCATGCAAGATGGTATTTCTGATATACTGCAGTTAATGTAGGAAACTGGTCTGATGAGAAACGTTACAAGAGGTGAGCAATTGTGAGAGATGGCAGCATAAACAGATTACTGTCAAATGATCCTCGGTTGGATTCCTTTGGCATGACAGAGATGTTTGGGCAATGTTTCTTTATACTTGGTGTCTATGTTAACTTAACAGTAGGCAGGTATCTTGGATTTAGATAACTGTTGTGGCTTGCATCCTAGAAAAGGGTAACAGTTGGCCCAGGGAAGAACTTCGATGAGCCTAACAAACTTCCTATCCCTGATTATACGAAACCAAGAGTTACAGGATTTACGGTTGCAAGAAGCAAATAAGGGTAATTTTGGGGTTAAGGATCTTGTGGGAAGTCCACACTCCTGGAAACATTTAATATCCGTGGGATCAGTAGTTTGTGATACAGGTCAGGAAATCTAACCAAGGTGCAATGCTCTAGCTACGGATGGATAGCTTAGTTATTTGTATTTTTATGCTTTGTCAAAAGTAGGCAGCCAGTCACTTGGGGCTAGACTTACCTAGCTTTGTAGGGGGGAATAGAGCCCATCCTCACAGCAACTCCATTACCATAAGAAACCAAACCCCACTTCAAACCCCTGCATAGTTATCTAGATATTTGTGATGATCTGAAAGCATATTACAGTTACAGTAATAGTCGAAATTTAAACTGGCAAATGAACTTTTGTTGTAAATGGAGATTATTGTCAAGTTATAATGTTATTGTATCTTAAATTGTTGGTTTTAAATATATAGTAAGTTGAAAATGTTTTCTTTGAAGAATTTGGTTTTGTCTAAATAGAATTCTTAGTTGAAAGTTTCTGAATTCCACATTCCCATTATCACCAATAATACACCGTATTAATGTAACTAAGCAGAATGAAACCTAATTTAACCATGGATAGAGAGTAGATAGAAGCACTAATTACATAATTGTTCCCACTCCATTACATTGAGTAGATCTCCCTGAGGACAGGTTGGGGGAATTTTCTGGGGTACAGAAAGGAAAAGGAACGACATAGGCTGGTTGGTGTCGGCCTTGTTAAATACTTGACATTTATTGGCCAATATTTAAGAAGTATTGGCATTTATAGACCGATCATGTAATTTTCTCGTTGTCAAGTGTGAAATATTTGGGGTGTTCCCTAGTTTTTTATTTATTTATCATAATAATGTATTCTAAGAGACCCATAGAGTTGTTTGTGATACTAACATTACAGAAGAAAAGACTCTAATCAAACTTGGATTTATAAAATGCTTTCAACCTAAGAACTTGGTAAAACTGATACAGTTCATCACTATTTCCCTTCCTCTCTCCATTTGTACACTCTTGTACAAATGACAGGTATGGCCTGCATGGCCTGCTCTGCCAAAGCACAGGAGGATGTCACGCAAGACAGTGAGGTTAATGACATAAGGAGCCTCATCACAGCCAGGGTTGTCCAGCAG